CAGCCTCAAAAAGGAAGGAAATTCGTTGACACATGCTACAACACGGATGATACATGCTACTACATGGATAACATTGAGGACATTATACTAAGTGAAATAAACCAACTGCAAAAGGACAAATACTGTATGATTATAGTTACATGAGGTACCTACAGTGGTCAAATTCATAGGGACAGAAAGTGGAATGGTGGTTGCCAGGGGCTGAGGGTGTGGAGGGACAGCAAGTCTTTGTTTAATGGATACAGAGTATCAGTTTTGTAACACGGGCTGAGTTCTGGAGGTGAATGGGGTGATGATTGCACAACAGTATGGGTGTTCTTGATGCCATTGAATGTTACACCTAAAAATGGCTAGGAGGGGAAAAGTTGTGTATTTTATCGAAAAAAAAAAGTGTTTGTATAACCATGACCACCACCACCTTCATGAAAACCACTTGCCTTGACTGGAATCGAGCCTTTCCATGTGCCTGCATGTAATGCCAGTGGCTAGATCGTGAAAATACTGGTGAACTATTGATGCTGCCAATTTACCAGCTGGTTAGGGTGGCACCCAGGGGTCAGAAGGAGAGAAGAGACATAAAATAGATGGCATATTTATTTGAATATCTAAGGATTGCACAAAATGAAGCTGTCATTGACTGAGATAACATTTAGGAACATTTACAGCTTTGAGATTGTAAAATGACCCAGTCCAAAGAAAGGAAATTCTACTCTTCATGTGATGTTATAATAAGTTCTCATCTGAGCCCAAGAAAATCTCCATAAAGTGGGAAAAAAAAAAATCTAAGACAGATAGTGGGTTAACTTCATTAAACTTCTGTTGTTTGTATCTTGAAATGACTCTTTTAAGAATGGGAAGTTAGCCTGCTGGATTGTGCTGGACTGGTTTCCTGGGCTAGTGTTTTTAAAACTGTAGACCACCTGAGTTGAATTTACTTGTGGGGCTCATAAGGAAATCCACAGTCTGGGGTTCCACCTGATACATGCGTATTCAGGATTTCTGGGTCTAGAGACTGGGAATTTGTATTATCGACAGACTCCTTTGTAATTTTTTTTTTTTTTTTTTGAGTTGGAGTCTTACCCCATTGCCCAGGATGGAGTGCAGTGGCACACTCACAGCCACCCCAAAGTCGACTTCCTAGGCTCCGGCAATACTTCCACCTCAGCCTTCCAAGTAGCCAAAACTATAGAGCACACTACCACACCTGGCTAATTTTTGATTTATTGTATAGATAAGGTCTTGCCAAGTTGCCCGCTGGTCTCGAACCTGTGGCCTAAGGTATTACACTCTCCTTGGCCTCCCAAAGTACTGGGATTACAGACTGAGCCACGGAGCCTGGCCTCCTTTGTGATTTCTATTCACTGAATGAGAAACAAGAGCCCAGGGCCAGCCTAAGTGAATTAATTAGGAAGCCTGGGACAGACACAGTGTCATTCTTAGGTGGCTACCATTTTATTTTATTATTTATTTTTTTGAGACAGGGTCTCACTCTGTTTCTCAGGCTAGAGTACAGTGGTGTGATCACAGCTCACTGCAGCCTCAACCTTCTTCTGGGCTCAAGCAATCCTTTCACCTTAGCCTCCTGAGTAGCTGGAACTACAGCCACACACCACCACACCCGGCTAATTCTAAAAATATTATTTGTCGAGACAAGATCTCACAACATTTCTCAGGCTGGTCTCTAACATGGGTTGACGTAGCTCTCCCGCCTCGGCCTTCCGAGGTGCTGGGATTTACAGGCGTGAGCTACTGCACCCAGCCATTTTAATGGTATTAAAAATGGTGATGGCCACCAGGGGACTGAGATTTAGGCACAGAGGGCAGACAAGCAAGGGTTGACATTGGGGGAACTTGGGCAAGAGCTGAGCAGTAGCTGTCTCCTCTGATACAGAAGGAATAGTCATATCAAAGTTTTGCCTGTGGGAGAATTTCCCTTCATCACTGTTCTTCAGGAATGTTCTAGAAAGTTCTCTAGTGCTGCAGCCTCCACTCTTGGGCTTTGGGCCCAGTTGACCCTGACTCTGCAATCATAAACTGTTATGTTCTGCTACTACCCGCTAAGTTTGATCATCAAGCTTCTGCTCCAGTGTTCCTCAGATAGACTCAGTCCAGTGGAAGGGAACTCTACTCACTTCACAGATGTTCTCTTTGTGAAGTTGAAAATGGTCTCCCTTTTAGACTGGCTCTCCACATAACTGCTCACAGGATAGGCACCCTGAGCTTCAATTCTGCTGTCTTCTCCCCAGACAGCCCTTTAAATATTTGAAGACAATTGTTGAGCCTTCCTTCTAGGCTTTTCCCTCACCAACATGGTTGCTGAAGTCACGCGATGTGGTTTCTCGACTCCCTTTGAAAGCTCTGCCCCACTCTAATGCTTTCTGAAGCCACGACATATCTCCAAGACCAACAGACTAACTTGTGAGATGACAGAGACTATTTCCAAGAACATACAAGGTTGGTAGACAGCAGTCAACAAATAGAGTTAGCTTCTGGACAGCTATGCTAATTCGGGAAATGTTTCATGAGCACTTAGCATGCGCAGGATGTGAGGTGTGCAATGACTGGTGTGTATGGAGTGCTAGGACCAGTTCAGGAAGAGCTCTAAGGGGCCCACTTCTTGCCATCAACAGCAGTGAGGTGGAATTAATGTCTGATGGCTGGTGCAGAGTGGGTGCTTGTCTTCCTCCACCCCAACCCCCTTTGATATTAGCAGAGTGGGGAACCAGCATTAGCCCCTGACTGGCCTGGGTCCTGGAATTAATGCTGCTTTCCTACTGACACCACGGATGCTAGGTGTTGATGAATGCATTATTTGCCCAGGTTGCTGAAGCACACAGTTGCAGACGGCATTTCAGCACTGATGCCTAAGCAAATTAGAAAGGTCTAGCAATTGGTGTGTTCATCTTTCATACATTTTAAGAGCTACTTATTAACTTACTATTATGTGAATGAACTAGTGTGCAGAGAAAGACTGTCATTCCTGTTGATCAGCACTCCCTGGTTCCTGAGATACAGCTCAAGGCTGTCTGCATTTTTGCAGCCTCAAGATTTGTGGTCTTTGTAATACTCAGTTGTATTTAACATTCTGTTCCTTCTATTTGCCATTTAAATAATTTCTATGGTTATTCCTTTTTTAATGATGAGGAGGGTTTTAGGCAAGCATATATGGCTGCTTATAAAGTACTCAAGTTGAAATAGTGGTGTATTGTTTTAGTTAAGTAACAGGTATTCTATCATCAATCCGTCTGTTTTCTATCTGTCATTTATCATATTTGGACTCAAATACACACATACACACAAGCAGATAACAGACATGGACACACATACACAAATATTACGTTTAGGGTAAAATACACAAGGACATTGAGGCACAAAATTACATGGTAATCCTGTTGCCATGGGAACATTTGTACAAGGGCTTAAAATCATTGCTTTGTGTATGAAGGAATCAAAAGACTGCATTCTTTTCTCAGGATCTTGGTCTTTCTCATGCATATATAACTCAAGTTTAAGAAATTTAGTGCTCCTACCAACCATAAAAACCTATTTGTGGGGACTGAGTCGTATGTATTTAAGAAGCGTTTGTGACGTCATTGCGACTGCTTTCAAGATTGCACTGCATTCTGTCGAGGGTGGGCAGTGAAGGTGAGAGCAGCAGAGAGAGTAAAGGCACTTTATGAAGTGGCTGGGAGCCATCTTTGTGCAGCGTGGCTATTCATGACAGGCTGTGCCTCAGGACTCTGACAAAATAGTTCCAGTGCTTCCCCTGGTGAATCCATCCTCAGTCGTTGATGAGGAATACCTGAGGAATACCATGGCACATCCTCATGGGCATTGCTGAGCTGGATGACTCAAGGCACAGGGTACTTGTCTTGACCTTTGGAGCAAAGCCACCCTGGCCAGAGAACCCTAGGCCCAGATGCAGAAGAGTCCTTGCCAAGGAAACAGTGGAGGGGGCAGCACCAGTGGTGTCTCAGGGACCACCTCACAGGTTCTCTGCTTCCACCACCAGGTGATCCTGCTCCAGGTGTTCATTGTTTAGACTCATCCAGGAAAGACAAAATATCGTCCAAGGGTGGGGGTTGAAGGAGTTTTGAGCTCCTATGCAAAAGTCTTAGGAAGAGACCTTTTAAAGACGGCTGCTAAAATTGAGTTCGCGTGAATGTAGAGTGGAATGGTAGATAACGGGGATTCGAAAGGGCGAGGAGGTGGGAGGGGGAGAATGACGAGAAATTAGTTAATGGGTACAATATATATCATTTGGGTGCTAGATACTGTACCAGTCCTGGCTTCACCATTACACAATATGCGCATGCAACAAATATGCACACATAACTCATACATGTATACACGTATTTGAAAAACGCACAGCTATTTCTCAGGGGGCTAGGCTGTTGCAGTGATGGCAGTGGCCCATGCAGCTTGTGTTGGGAGCTGGCTCCACCCATGACGTTCTGTGCGGTTTTGGAGGATAGTCTCACAATCCCAGCCTTGTTTCTTCTCCAGGGAGGCGAAGAGGCTGGTGGTACCTACAACGTCAGAGGTCTCACCCAGTCTGAGTACTCCCATCTTCCCTCCCTCTTGGGGAGGTAACCTCCGTGTGGCGATGAGGTTTTTCTGCATGCCCCCCACAGTCCCTAGCATCTGCCTCCTACAGCCATGTGATGAAGCACAGTGGTTAGGGTGCTCTGACTTGAGTCAGACCCACGTGGGTTTGAATCCTTGCTCAGAAAAATGAGCAAACACTAGTGCACCTCTCCTAGGGCTGCAGTCAGGACACAGGTAGCCAGACGTGTCCACAAGAGCCTGGTAAGCAGAAGGCTCTTGTGAGGAGGAGGAGCTCCAAGACCTCCTCCGTAGATTGGGTGCGGGAGAGGCTGCTATGATGGACAACGCTGGTGTTTCCCTCTGTTGTATTCAAATTGGGTAACAATGGCCTGCTATTCTAGGAGGGGCCTGAGGGTTCTCCCTCAGTTTGCTGTGGTGTGAGCCCGCTAGAAAGGCAGACACCTCCTTGGCCGGACGTCTGGACCATGGACCGGGATTCGAGTGAAGAAGACAGTAAGTAGGATTGCAGAGGTGGCATGAGGTGCCCGCCTCTGCAGCTGGCGCTGTGGGAAGACTTCCATCCACCCTAAATGCCGACTCAGGTCTGCGTCCTGTTGCCGGGAGCATCTCTGCCTTCCTCCCTCTCCTGTGTAAAGCCGGTTGGCAGCCTGCAGCCTCTTCTTCCGTCAGGGGCCTCTGGACAATGCAGACGGAAGAGAGAAAATAAGATGAGAGCTTTTCTCCCTCTCACTGTGACTCTGTTCAAGTCTTACCTTCTTTTTGTTTCCCTCCTCTCCTCTGGTCGACAGTCCCTCCCGCCCCCAGCCAAATGTAAGTGAGGACATCAGGAGTCTTATTTCAGTCACAGCTGGGGTCAGTTCTTAGGTTAACTTTACAGAAAGGTCATGAAAAGTCTTTACTCACGATGTTCCACTAGCAAACTGTCGGCTGGTTCATTACCGCTCATGAAACGCAGCTGGGTGATCCCATCCTGTCACTACTAAGACAGAAATACAATGGGATCGCAGGGCTATTTAAAAACGTGAAGAAGGAAATGGCGTTTTAGGGAAGAAATGTGCTTTTTTTTTTTTTTTTTTTTTTTTTAATAAAGACATTTTTGGCGGATTTTGAAACGGGTAATGCAGTCGAGTAGAAAGACCATCAGACCGGGAAGTGGGAGTCTTGGATTCAAGTCCTGGCTGTGCTCTAAATTGGCTGTGCTCTAAATTGGCTGTGTGATCTTGGGCAAGTCGCTTAACATCTCTGAGCTTTGCTCAATTTTTCAATGTATAAAAGGAGATTGGTTCAGGAGTTTTTAATTTGAGGACCAAGAAGATGTGGGCAAAATGTCATGTAAATGTGTTTTTTGGGGGGTGTGGAGAGGGGTCTGCAGCTTTCACCTGAATCCCCAAGAGGCCAGTGGCACTAATACACCTTAGTAGTAACCAAACTTGGTGACCTTAAAGGTCCTTTGTAGGTACAGCATTCTATTGTTTTTAATGTTGGTTTCTTTAAGCCGTAAGTTTCAGACCTGAAGTAGAATATAAATTAATCCATGTTAACCTGAGCAAACTCAGTTTAAATTCTGTTGGCATCTTGTTTTCATGTTGAAGTGGAAGGCTGTATGGAGATATTTTAGCATGTGTTTGAAGAGGACCTAATCTGACCTCTAATATACTGGAATTTGTGTATCCATAGTCTTGTTCTAAAAAACTTCTACTAACATTCTAATGCAAAATTTTTTTCTTCAAAACTGCTCATTAACAGTCTTTCAATTTATGATTGGTGTTCCTCTTAGTAGCAATGAACTAGGTCAGACCTGGGTTCAAGTTCAAGCTTTGCCTCCTAATTGCTAGGTGACTTTGTTCAAGTCACTTAGCCTCTCTGAGCTTCATTTCCCCTGACAAAAAATAAAAAAGAGGTGCTATCACTTTGCAGGATTGGCCAAGGATTATTGGATGTAAAGCGCCTGACATATCACCGAGCCCAGTGTAGGCAAGGAGTCAATATTGACTCTAGAAAATGATCAGATTATGTCTCCAGAGCTTTAAAAGTAAACTACCATTAACAGAAAGTTTTATCACCTGTGAGATTTCTCTTTTGCCCTCAAGCTTTTTTGGTAAGCAAGGCGAGAGCAGGGTGGACGCTTTAGTCCCCTCAGAAGGCTAAAATCCGCAATTATGTTGTAGGGTCGCCCTGTACCCTGGTCCCAAATATGAAGGAACTCAGGTCAGCACTTGGGCACGGAAGATGCTGCTGCAAGCTATGAGACCACCCAGAAAAGCTTTTAGAAGTTAAGCTGATGAAATCTGAAACTGGGCTGATTTAGTCCCCCAAGTGTCAGAAAGGAAGGCTGCTGTAGGCTTGCTTACATAATGTAAACACACCTTTTAGGTGAGAGGTGATGCCCTCTTAATCTGATTGAGATACCCTTCCTGGTCACTAAAGTGTTGCCCCGCAATTTTTGGGTCTGTAACATGAGCAGCTTCCTCCAGTGATACACGCAGGCAGGCATGAATAGAAACATCCTGGGATGTGGCACCCACTTGCAAGACATCTTGAAGGCCCGATCGCCCCATCCTTGGAGGCTGGCTGCCTCTGACAGCTTCCCTGACCCATGACAGCATCTTCCAGTCTGAGCTGGAACACTTCCAGCGATGGGCTGACCCAGTGTCTGTAGCTGAAACTGTCCAAATTTCTTTCTTACATTGAGTTAATAGCTCTCTCCCTGGAACTTGTACTCTTTGGTTTTGATTCCAGGGCTGTCTACTAAGAATGTGTCTGTTCCCTGTTTAAAATAAGAGCTCTTTTGGGAGAATCGCTTGAGTTCAGGAGTTTGAGACCAGCCTGGGCAACATAGTGAGAACTTGTCTCTACAAAAACAAAACAAAACAAAACAAACAAGCAAAAAAGGCTGGGTGTGGTGGCACACCTGTAGTCCCAGCAACTAATCGAGGCTGCCATGAGCCAGGATGACACCACTGTACTCGAGCTTGGGTGACAGAGTAAGACACTGACTAAATAAAACCCCCAAAAGCAAAAGCAAACAAACAAAGGCCTTTACAGTCTTTTCTTCCTTAGCTTAACCAGATCGTGTTTCTTCAGCAGTCGCAGACATAATGTGGTTTCAATCATTCTTCCCTAGAGTATGATGTACTAGCACAGAGCAGGAGCGGAAAAATCCCCTCCCCTTTTCTATACACTGTATCTCTTGAAATAGAACCTCTTTTATTGCAGATTGAAACCCCTCCCAGAAATGGTGAGCAGAGCCTCTTTAAGTAAGAAGGGTTGTAACTAGAACCCCTGGTGATTTTAGGAGAGGGCGTCTCTGATCTAGGACTGTAAGACCTAGGTTATAGATCCTTACTCCTGGGCATCGGTCTTTTTTTCGGGTGGAGGGGAGCAGGGTTGAGCTCCGAGTGAAAGCCCTGGGCCAAGCTCACACCACCATCATCATCAATGCCCCAGTGCTGAGGAGCTGGGGCCGTCCTCTCAGGACCCAGGCCAGCTCTGCTCCCAGAAAGTTTATTCATTAGGGTGCCCCCTGCCCCCACGCTCTGAGCTGGAGATCTGAAACTAGGTTTGAGGCTATCATGGCATCTTGGTGGGAAAAGGTGCTGGGTTTCTTGGCTGGGGCCCTGCTGCCAAGAGCTGCGGTGTTGACCAAGGCCTCGGCATTTCTCACACATCCCCTAGGATGAAGGCACAACCGCTAGGAATCCAGGCCTTCCTGGTGAGGTCAGCTTTGGCCACATGGGGCCCAGCCAGTCTTTCCTACAGGTTGCACATTTCTGGAAGGGATTCGTGCGTCCATTAAGCTTCTACTTCAGGGAGCACATAAGAAATACGAAGCTTTCATGACATTGTGTTACAGCTTAGAGAGGATCCCAGGGTTTTCCTGAGGCAGGCCCTAGAGCCCTGTCTATCCATTGTCCCATCTGCGCCTCTCAGTGGCTGTGCTCCCTGAGCCCTATTTTTAGGGAAAGGAAATCAGGCCCGAAACAATTAAGTTTCCCCCCCACTGAGGCTACTATATAGTCGGCTAGGTATCTCGTGCTTTGCTCATGGCTGGGGGAACAAGGATGCATAAAGCATTGACCTACCTTCAGGGTGCTCCAAGTCTGGTGGGGGACGCAGACCTCAAATGGATTTTTGACAAGTAATTCTTATAAAACCATTTGTCAAAAGTAACAATAGAGAGGGGAACAGAATAGTAAGGGGCCCAGAGGAGCGGGCCACACCTAGCAGGCTTTGGGGCACTGAGGTCTGGGCTGAGTCAGGTGGAAGGGTGCCCAGGGGGTGGGGGCCATGGATAGGAGTAGTCCCAGCATGTGTTGGAGAGATGGTACAGCATGGGCGAGGGTGGGGACAGATATCAGTGCCAGGAAGTCAAAGGGCACTTCTGGAAGGGCAGTGATGGCTCTCAGAAAGCCCAGCCCCGCTGGAGCCCTGTCTTGGTGTGATGGCACTTTCTGCAAAGCATGAATTCCACATTCCAAATAACTGAATGCATCACAAATAACAATCCCAACTCATCAAAAATAAAAATTGCAATATTTGCTACTTTCTCTCTTGGCACCGCAGGAGCTAGGTCTTCTCCCCCCATTTCTCTTGATGTTAGTCTCATTACATGGTAAACATTTGCTCCCCCAAATATCTTCTCACTGGCTCCACCCCTAAGTAGACACACTTCTCTCTCCAGCCTTGAGCAGGCTTGTCTTTCTCCTTCTTCCTTTCCGCTCTGTTCTGAATCCCTACTGCCGACCCCTCCCACAGTTAGCTGTCTTCCCTTCTCTCGCCCTGGCCTGGACAACATAGAAGACTTTTTCCTGGCACGTGGGCAGATGAGAATCTTTTCTTTCTGTCCCATGCATGGGTAAGGGCCCTCCTAACCATTTCTAAGGGTACAGTTCAGTGGTAGTGTTCATTCACATGGTTGTAAAGCCATCGCCACCACCATCTCCAGAAAGTCTTTCACCTTGCAAACTGTAGCTCTGTACCCATTAAACGACAATTCCCTCTTCCCTTCCTCCCCAAGCCCTGGCAACCACCACTCTATGTTCTGTCTCTTTAAGTTCCACCACCTGAATCTATCTTGCACCATCTTCAGTGTAATTCAAATCACAAGGCACTTACGCACACTGACCGTGCACCCACCCTATTAGGTGCGCTGTGCCCCTAATCCTTATATGTGCCCATTGTGTGCCCACTCTCTGTTAGGGTATTCGAGACCAAGGGGTTCCTGTCCAAAGGGGCTCTCACACCTGTTGAAGGAGACAAGACATGCAACAAGCCCAAGTAAGATGGTGGTGGGGAGCCAGGTGAGGGTACACCTCAGGGTATGTAAGATGATTTATTTGGAATCGGGGACAGAGAGCATGCATTCCTTTGATCATCTGAAGTCAAGGGAATGACATTTTAAAAGGAGAAAATTAAAGAGGTTTTCCATTAGTTACGCCTTTCTCCACAAGGAAAATTCATTTATATACTAAAGAAAAATATCTTTGGTCAGCGAGCTGAAACACCACGTAGGTGATGCGCGTCACAAAGTTTTCTTAACAACCACTTGATGCTGTGTTCGTGGAGCCATGGAGTGTTGGCTCAGTAGAAAGGGCACCAGGCTTGCAGTCAGGATCGGAGTTCTAAGGGCTGTTTCTGTCTCTGCTATGCATGTGTGAGCTAGTTGCCCAAATGTCCATCTTGGAGCCTCATTTTGTTCTTTTCTGAAGTGGGGAAAACCGGTTATCATGAAGCACAAAAGGGATCACGTCTGTAACACCCCCATGTGAGCAGCAGGATGAAATGAGTGCTTTAGGGTAGGGGAACCCACCTGGATGACTGCCCTGAAACTCAACCCAACACCATGGGAACAGTGTGGTGGCTGGTGGCCCCCTGCTGAGTGCCCCACGCTGGGTGTCACACAATGCCTAGTGACGTCCACATTCCCCGCTGTGCCCGTCAAGATCTGCACAGGAAATGACACATCCTCCTTAGTTCAGGCTGGAGTCCTTTATTTTCGTCCATAACATAATGGTGAGATTAACTTAGCTCTGACAAATTGCAGCTGCCCCGAGGGGTCACAGTGGCTCCCAGTTGATGGATGGAGCTTTGAGTTTCCCGCCTCTCATTCTTCCCCTCTTCCTGCCCCTTTTGTTTGGTGTCTAGCAGGAGGTGGCATTTCCCTGTCTTCCTGTCAAGGGGAATATTGATGGCCCAGCAGACCCTAGACTTCTGGGTGGGGCCATCCCAGGGGACTGGGCTGTGATGGTCTTTCTTTCTATGCTTGACATTTTCACTGTTGTCTCCTGGTTTCAAAGAGCACAGAGAAAGAAGAAGACCCACCCTCCTCAGGTGCAAGGCATTGACTAAGTTTTTATTACAGGCCAGGCACAGGCTCAAAGACTGTGCACACATTGTCTCATTTGGTGGGCACTCATTCGTCTGCTCCATTTCACAGACAGATGGCGGAACTGAGTTCTGCAGGGATGTGTGACTGGCATGGTGTCATGTTGCACATGGCAGAGAGCCTGGACCCAGGGCCACGTGTCAGAGCCCACATTCCCAACCACTCTGCCTCTGGGATTCTGACCCCAGTCATCCTGGCTGCAGTCCAGCCTGACTTGGATCTTTAATTGTGATAACAGGGCTCACAGGAACTGTGATGATCCTGAGTCCTGGTCCCAGAAATGCTCAGATTTTAGTCTCCACCTTTCTGACCCTTCCTAAACCCATCCTCTTGGGTAAGTGTCTAAGTAAACACACAGGTGAATGTCTAAGTCAGGGGTGGGCAAAGTCTGACTCAGAGGCTAAGTTTGATCCACTGCCTGTTTTCATAAATACCGTTGTATTGGAACAAAGCCACACTTACTCAATTGTGTATTGTCTATGGCTGCTTTCACGCTACAATGGCTGAGTTGAGTAATTGAGACAGAGATCACGTGGCCTGCAAAGTCTAAAATATTTACCACCTGGCTCTTTACAGAAAATGGCTAACAACCTCTAGGTCCCTGGTGGCTAAAGTAGCTTCAAATGCGAATAAACTTGCCAAAAGCAAAACAATACTGACAGCCAAAGTATTAACACTAATTCCAAATGAATTATCCTATCAGGGATTTTAACACACATTGGCAGGCATCACTTTGAATCTTTGGGATGAAATCACTCTACCTCATGGCCACATCTATCCAGATCTCTCACCTGTTTCCTGGTAGAACCATTTGCTCACAGAGGTGGGTTTTCCTGCTTAGAAGGGCTCTCTCTGCATCCACGGACCTTCTCTATCCACCTTCCTTTGTAGGTTTTCCTTTGTAGGTTTTCTGCAAGAAGTGAAAAAAAAAAAAGTTAGCGATGCAGATAACATTTCTTACTGTCAGAGGATGGGGACATTCCTAATTTGGAGGGTGGTAGAGGTGTTGTTCGTTTGTCTAAATGACAGCCCCTCCTCCCTCCCCCATTCTCTGCCACATATTTTAGTATTTCCACCTTCCTCATCCCCTGATGGCTCCATTACCAGATTGGCCTGGGTTACTCTCACTTAGAACAAGATTTGCTAGGCCTTTGATATTATTAAGTTTGAAAGGACAGGACATATTAATTTTATTTTTGTGGAGGTAAAGAGCTTTAAAGTGGTGCCCCCTTCCTCCCAAAAAGGAGGGGAAATGGGGTAGATCAACTGGAAGTGTGATGAGAGTTTTCTTCAGTGACTGAGGCAGAAAGGACTCCCTTCCTCCGATCATTTCACAGCCACCATTCAAACTCAACTCCTGTGGCACACTTGGCTGCTGGGCACACAGAGCCAAGCAATTCTTGTTCCCAGCATGAGGGCTTGTGGGGACAGTTTTGAGGACTGGCCCAGTGGGCTAGAATCGGACTAAGGTACCTCTATCCTGCTTTAACTCCACACTGTGGGACCTATACATGTTGGAGTAACCTCTCTGAGCCTCATGTCAAGTGGAGTCCGAAGACCTGCCTTCCATACCTCCAGGTAGGTGTGGGAAGGCTGTCCATGCATCTAGGGACTCGTTCTTAACATGATACTTTCCTCCTTGTAGTCTCAAGGCCATTTGTGTCTATGTCACCCCTGACAGTGAGGGTGAGGCTTGGAAAACAGATATACAGTGAATGATTTTTTGCCCCAGGGTTTGCCTATGAGAAGTCCAGATGCTTTTCAACTTATAACAGGGTTATGTCCTGATAGATTCAATAAAAACATCCTAGGTGGAAAAGGCATTTAGCAACTTAACTCACCGAATGTCATAGCTGAGCCTGTGTTACCTTAGACATGCTTGAAAACTTACTGTAGCCTACAGTGGGCAAAATCATCCAGTTACATGGGACACTAGAGAATATGGGTTGTTTACCTTGTTATTATGTGGCAGAGTAGGGGTCTGTGACTCTTGCCACTGTCCAGCTTCACGAGAACCTATCCAACCACCTGTCACTAGCCTGGGAAGAGATCCAAATTCAAAACTCAAAGCTCAGATTCTACTGAATATATATTGCTTTTGTACCAGTGTAAAGTCAAAAAAATCATAAGTCAAACCATCCTAAGTCAGGGACCATCTGTATCTGGAAAGAACATTAACTGTGGAGCCAGATGAGCCTGGTTTGAGTCCGGTCTCACCCATTCTGGGCAAATCACAGCCTGAGCCTCAGTTTCCTCACTGGTAGAATGGGGCTAGTGTTAGTGTGTCAGTTTGGGTCATCCAGGAAGAAGACACCAAAATGGCATTAGATGTGCAAGAGGTTCCTTGGAGACACCTGTGAAGGGAAAAGAGGAAGGAATGTCTTCAGACCGTAATGCAGGCTAGACACTTGTGATGGGAGAGCTGGAAGGAAGGAGATGGAGTAGGAGGAGACCTAGCCTGCAATGTGGCTCTGAGAAGGTCTTGGCCAGGTCTGCTGGGAGGTCCATAACACAGACTGCCCTTTAGAAAAAGCTGTATGACAAACTACCCCACATCTCCATGCCTTAAAACCATTTTATTATATCTTATGATTTTGTGGGTCAGAAATTAAGGCAAGGCTCAACCAGGAGATTCTTTTGTTCCATGTGGTGTCCGGTGAGTACATCAGTGGTGTTCAGCAGGCAGTTGATCTAGCTTGGAGAGTCCTGGATGACTTTGTTCCTGTGCCTGGTGGCTTGGTGGTGGGGGACTGGAGGCCTGGGCTCAAGTGAACCCCTGGCCATGTAGTCTTAGGGTCTTTCCTCAAGGTCTCTCCAGCAGGACAGCCTGACTTCTTACAGCTCAGGGTCAGAGGTAAGTGTTCCACACGGCAGAAGAAGCTACAGTCTCTTAATTGCTCCCACTGCATTCTCTTGGTTGAAGCCATCACAAGTCTTCACAGGCTCAAGGGGCAGGGGGCATCAAAGAGTGTGTGGTCATCTGTAATTCACCACTCTGTGTCCTGGAGTCGTGGTTTGCAGCAATGCTTATGAAGCACCTGTCACAGTGACCACACGAAGCAGGTCTTTGCAAATAGGAGCTGCCGTTCTTAGTGTTTTCTCATCGTGATCATCAGGGCTGCTGCTACCACTCCCCTGCCTGCCCAGCCGATGTGCCTTGTGTCCCAGAGATGCCAGAGCGAGGCTGGCTCAAACTGTGGGGAGTTTTTTTTTATTCCGCAGCTGCAGGGGGCCAGCCCCAGCAGAGAGATTTAGGGGGTCCCTGGGTAGATGTGGTGGCGTCGGCGATTATTCTGGAGAAATAAAGAGAAAGAGAGAGAGAGAGACGGGGGGAGAAAGAAAGAGACTGGACTCTGTCTAGTGCAGAAGCCGATTCTGTAGGAGGGATAGATATTAAAAGAAAGAAAGATGGAGGGATAGATATAAAGAGAAAGAAAGAGAAAGAAAGTGGACAACTGTTCAATGAATTGAGCAGAAGCCATTTATTGGAATTTACCGCGGGTATTTATCCCCAAATTTTACACAGACAGTCTCACAAGTCTTTCATGTGAACACAAAGCCAGGTGCAGGAGGGGCGTCCCCCACCCACCAGGTGTTTCCTCAGGCATGAGGAGGAACAATCCCAATTAAATCACAAAGCTTTTACATGAACACAAAGCCAGGTGAATGAGGGGCATCCCTCACCCACCAGGTGTTTCCTGGAGTATGAGGAAGGGCAATCCCAATTAAATCACAAGACATTTACATGGACATAGAGCCAGGAGCTGCCGTTCTTAGTGTTTTCTCATCGTGATCATCAGGGCTGCTGCTACCACCCCCCTGCCTGCCCAGCCGACGTGCCTTGTGTCCCAGAGATGCCAGAGCGAGGCTGGCTCAAACTGCGGGGCTTTTTGTTCCGTAGCCACCCCCATTTTTCAGTTTCCCATGATGCCCTCATCAACTCTTCCCTCCCTCCCAAGGCTCAGAACTGCCTGTCTTTCTGCAGGTGTGGTGGACCTCAGTTTTGAGGTAGAGAGTCCTCTGGCGCCCCCCCCTGAGCTCCTGGAGACACTGCCCAGCTACGACTGGCTTCTTCCACAGGGCAGTAAGTCCATGGGGTCTGGGCCCCTGTGGTCTCTTCCAGGGTTCGTGCTGGTTGGTGGGGATGTCTCTGGAACAGATCCCTTTCCCTTGGGGGGGTCCTGGGCAGCCCCTTGTCATGGACAGGGGAGGAAAGATGGGGCATAATAGGCCTCATGTCCAGGAACATTCCGTGACCATGACCATGTCCATCTAAGACCCAAATGATGCTGGTCTCAGGATCCCCGTTCTTTTCACGTCGTAGGCATGAAGTGCTTCACCTTTTCTTTCTTTCTCCCATTCAGTCAGTTTTCCCTTCTTTCCCCCCTCACATATTTGTTCCCTTAAGCTGGGCTGTCTGCCTCTTCCCTTCTCCAGGACGGCAGATATTCTTCCCACCTTTGGAGGCCCCAGGGAGGCCCCAGGAACAAAGATCCTGGTCTTCATTACTGGAACACAGGTGAGTTTCATGTTGTGTCCTGGTGACCACACATCACTACTGCACCATGGGATCCCTCCTTAGTGATCTCAACCCTGACGTGCATCAAGATCCCTTGGGGGAATCCCCCTCGCTCCAGGCTGGTGCTGAGATAGACTTAGTCCAGGGGTGGGCCCTGGGAAACTGCATTTTACCCAGCTCTTCAGATTGTTTGGCTACAAAGCCAGGGTCGAAAACTATAGTCTAGATCAGGGGTTTCCAACTCTTGCCCTTGGGCCAAATTTAGGCCATGGCCTGTTTTTGTAAGTTGTTTTATTGGAATACAGTCACACTCACTTTTATGTCTCTGTCTCTGGTAGCTTTTTTGTTACAACAGCAGAGCTGAGTAACTTAGAGACCACATGGCCCACAGAACCTGAAATATTTGCATCAGGTGCCTTCACAGAAGTTTGTCCACCCCTGCTCTAGATTCTGGAGAGACCTGCATTCTGCTCGTCTGAGAAGACTTGGGGGCAGAGCTTGGGACTTCCAGCCAGCTTTGTGCAGAGACAGGGTGGAGCTACCCCCTTTCCAGGCCCAGTGTCTCAGTAGGGCGGCCTGAGAGGCATCTCCTGAGTGCTCTAGGCCCTGTTGCTGCCAGAATTGTCCCTTCTTTTCCCTGGCTGCCCACCTTCCATGCCCAGGGCAAGCCCCGCTTCCTCCATGAAGTCGCCACCCGCCATTTCAGCCCACAGCACTCTGACAACGCCACACTGGCCCCTTGGTGCACCGGGCCTGGTGGGTGCTGGGGACCCAAGGGTGTACAAATCAGGATCAATGGCTCTCTCAGGGCTGCCATGGAAAATAAACGAAGATGCAAGGGGAGGGAGGAGAGGGTCCTTCTTACTGGAGGGTCCAGGGCCTGAAGGGCTTCGCTAAGGTGGTGGCATGGCCTCAGGAGAAAGGAGTTTTCCAGGAGGAGGCAAGGGCATGTAGGGAGAGAACCCAGGCAGGGCCCCTCTCGTACCTTCCCACCCACTGTCTTCAGGGTGAGTCTGTGGATGCTGCCATCAGCTGTGGGCCAATTCTCGGCTGGGGTCTTCCCACTATGGTGCTCACAGCTCCTCTGGTCAAGGTCAGGTTTCCCAAGGGCAGGATCCTCATCCAGCCTGTGTCTGCCTCCTTCTAGCTATGTGATATCTACTCTGCACCTCAGTTTTCCTCATCTGTAAAATGGTACAATTCATCTCTAAGTGTTTATGTGTTGTTCTAAGATTTCACCAGCCCTTCTTCTAAGTGTCACTAAAGTGGTTTTGCTGTTCTCTAGAAAGACCTGTCACTCCCTCACCCTGGGCATCTGTTCACGTGGTCCTCTTTGCCGGAGATGCCCTCCCCTGTTGGACTCTTGAGGACTTTGCTGCCACTGTGGCCTCCTCTTCCCACTTGCACATTGAGGAGGGCGACTGGCCTGGATGAGCCCATGGGCCCTTCCTGACACCCCCTCCCCCGTTTGTCTGCAGAGTCCCTGTGATGACGGAGGCGGAGGCCCGTGATGCCCTCCTCAGCTTCGTGAACTCTAAGTGCTGCTATGGCAGCGCAGTGGCCGGCGACCTCACCATCCGTGAGCTGAAGCAGCAAACCCTCTGCAGGGTAGGGGCTGGGCCCTATAGGGGACACCCTGGCCGAGGGACTGGGAGTCTCAGGACTTTTAGGGGGGCGCTCGTGGGATGTGGGGGGGGTGGTGGAACGGCACCCCGGGGGACAGCAAGTTTGAACGGCGGGGATGTTGAATCCCTTTGGCAACTCCTCTGGCCTGTGGCTGTGAGTAACAGCAAAACAAGATTGAGCATCCTTGGTCCCAACAGACAAGCTCTAACGCAGGCAGCACTGTGGAAAGCTCAGTCCATTCCTGCCTTGTCAGATCCTCATAGCTTCCCTTCATGGCAGCATTATTGTCACCAGTTTACAGAGGAGGAATTGGAAGTTTAAAGAGGCAGAGGCACTTGCCTAAGAACATGCAGCTAAAATGATGGAGCTGGGACCCACACTCAGGGTGGCTGTGTCCTTGTTCTACTCTTCCACGAGGGAGGGCTCAGAAGCATCCATCTCCCTTTGGCCTGGCTCCCTCAGCCTCCCGGACACGATGTCTGTGCCTAGGAATCATTTACTCATCGCTCCAGGAAAATGCTACCTCTCGAACCAAGATCACAGCCGGCAGTTCTGTCTCCTTCATTGACAGGGCAGAGGGGCAGCTCTTAGGTCTACATTTTCTAGTGTCACTGACACAGTCATCCTCTGGTGAGCTCACAATGGCACAAAAATCAGACGAGCCTCACAGATAGTGGTTACAGCAGGGATCTGAAGGGAGAGGCTGCTGTGTGGCTGTGTGTTCTTGGGTAAGTCAACCGACCTCTCTGAGCCTCCATGTCCTCACATGTGAAAGGAGGAGGCAAGTGATGTTCAGATCTCTTCCCGCTCTGTGACTCTGTGGATAAGGATCAAGAAGGGGGATCTTGACATAGGCAGACAAATTTCTCCAAAAGAGGACCCTCAAAGCAGTGGATTCCGGGGACTTCATCTTTCAAAGGACAACTACTGCTCTGAAATTTGCCTCATAGAACGTTTCTGTGTATATGAGACGGGATGGAAAAAATCTGGAATTTATTTATTTCTACATGTTTAAACTTCAGTCACCTTCAGAGTTCCTTGTTTGATGCAGTATACCTTGCAGTGTCTTCCTCTATTCAAAATAGGTTTTTGAACTCATCAATTTTGATGGCTTTTAGTTCTTCTGCCATTTTTATTTCACCTCTTCCACGTGGGCAAAACATTTCCCTTGGAGGACTTCTTAATCTGGGGAAACAGACTCAGGGTGAGATTGGGTGAATAGGGAGGGTAGGCCACAAGGGTCATGCTGTTTTGGGTCAAAAACTGCTGAACGCTCAGCACAGTGTGGGCAGGTGCACTCGTAAATCATCCATCATGAAGTGAGCAAATACATTGAATCTCAAAAAAAAAAAAAAAAAAAAATTCACTGAAGCCCCTCACAAAAACACTAGCTGGTATACTGATGCCACTGGGTTCCTAGAACTCTTAAAACTCGAATCTAGTAGGGGAAGCCTGTACTACAAGGGACCTGCCCTCCGAAAAATAATTCTATTTTTTATTGGGATCCCCCTCGTGAATTCATGGGGTACTGAAGTCGCTCCAGTTGTGAACCTGTCAGGGGAGATTTCCCGGGGCTGGCTGACCTCCCCTGCAGATGTCCTGGAGGCATCTGGGACAGTAATGACTGTTGCTAGCTGTTCAGAGCCTTTTGGTTTCCCTGCTAAGCCCTGGCAGGTGGTGGTGGGGTCATCTTTTGGCGCAGTGCTCTGTCTTCATCACGTGCACAGTGTGAACATGCTGGGGTTTTTTTCCTCTGTAGTATCGACTAGAGACCTTCAGTGAATCCAGGATGAGTGAGTGGACATTTCAACCCTTTACTAGTAAGTGAGTTGTTGGAAATCAGCTTAACTGGGGGCCATACGGTAGGTGCTGGTGGGAAATGTCGGGACCTGGCTGAGGCCCTCGTCTGGGATAGTTCGCTCTTCTGCTGGGAGCCCGGCTGCCCCATCCTCCCCTGTGGAATGAAGTGGTGGACTTTCATCTCAGAGACTTTGCAGGGCTGGTCTTCGCAGATGCCTCCTGCCCAGGAAGTGGCTTGCAGGAGGTCCTGGAAAAGCCTAGCATTTGCCTCTGGCCACAGGCTGGTGCTGCCACACAGGGCCAGCCTGCAAAGCAGCGGGGGCACTTGGGCATCTGCCTGCCCCCCATGTCACTCCCAGGGCTCCGTAAATCTCTACACCCATGAGCTCCCGGTTCTCTGTGCCATCTTGTCTTCCGCTGAACCCCACTGCGAGCCCTATGTTCCTCTGTCTGGGAAGCCCTATGTCCCACCTGTTTTCTCTGTGGGACCACTCCAGTTCATTCTTCAAGACTCAGCTCATGTCACCTCTTGTACGAAACCTTCCAGGGTTTCTCCTGCCGCCCATCTTCCCAGCAGAATGGGTCAGTCATCTGAGTGTCCAGAGGTCTTTACACAACTCTTGCTCAAGGCACTTAACCTATCCTGTAACTGCTTATTGGGATGGTATGCCTGTCTGCCCCCCAGAACAAAGGAGGAGAAAGAGGAACAAGATAATGGATGGGGAAAGGGATGGTGATGATGATGATGGTTCTTGCTAATTGACTTCTTAGTGCTAACCCTAGTGCTAAGCATTTTATATAAACTCCTCTATCTATTTTCACTAACATTCTGTATGGCAGGTGCCACCCTTATTCCCATTTCAGAGATAAGAGAATTGAAGCTCAGAGAAGTTAAGTAACTTGTCCGGAGTCACACAGCTAGGAAGTAGAAGAGTCAGGAGTCAAACCAGGTCTGTCCAACTTCAAGCGGGCCCTGGCTTGCTCATCCCTGTAGTCTCAGCAATCTAGACTAATGACTGGCACCAAGTAAAGACTCAGTGCTGTTGTTGAATAAATGAAGGTTTCCCCCGTGGCTCTTGCTGTTCTTATGACGATCCCTCTCTGTGTCAGATCACTCAGTGGATGGGCCGCAAAGAGGCGCTTCCCCCAGGCTCTGGGACATGAAGGTCCAGGTGCCCCCGATGTTTCAGGAAGACACCAGGAAGTTCCAAGTCCCTCACTCCTCACTGGTCAAGGTAACAGCATGATTGGTGGGATATTTCGCCTTCTCTCTGAGCGGGTTGTCCAGGCAACGAATGTTTCCTCCAGCTTTATCCTTCTGGTGGCTCATTCCTCCATTGTAAATAAACCGAATTTAAGAAAGCTCAGTGTGTGGAATGTAGTCCCATACAAAATCCCAAGTAAATGAGGGAGTGATCCGTAGCAAGAGGCTTACCCTATTTACAGATTGTCACCAGTTTTAAATAGTGAGCGATAACATCCTAGATCATTTGAGTGTGCGCGTTTTATTTTATTTTATTTTTCTATTTTTTGCCTGACAGTAAGCAGCTGGAGTGCTGGATGATATTGGTGTAAAATAAAAAGTTAAAACACTGCTGAGATTTTCCGTGAAAGTCAGGGAAGCAGAATTTTATTTCCATCTTTCCTGACAGAGATATAATCATGGCATGAAGAGAAGGAAAGAAACCTGGTGGATTACAAAACCACAACTGGGCTATCTTGTATCGTGTTCTCGTCTGCCCTTTGGACTTGATTCAAGGGTGTAAATTTTCAAATTATTTATTTATTTATTTATTTTGAGACAGGGTCTCTCCCTGTCAACCAGACTGTAGCGCAGTGGTGCGATCATGGCTCACCACAACCTTGACGTCCTGGGCTCAGGTGATCCTTCTGTCTCAGCCTCCTGAGTAGCTGGGACTACAGGTGCGTGCTACCATGCCTGGCTAATGTTTTTCATATTTTTTTGTAGAGATGAGGTCTATGCTGTGCTCCCTAGGCTGATCTTGAGCTCCTGGGCTCAAGTAATTCTCCCTCCTCAGCCTTCTAAATGCTGGGATTACAGGCGTGAGCCACGGCACCTGCCCAACAATGTAATTGTGTTCTATGCGTTTTCGTAGAGTTGTAAGGTGAGGACTTGGAGGGGTCAGGAAAGGGTTCCGTTATTTTCTCGAGGGTGGACATGCTATTTTGATTCCGTGATTACATTTTTTCACATACTGTCCATCTTTTATGGCTTCTGTGCCCAGACTACTCTAGCTCTCTGACGGGCAAATGCCATCAACTCTGCGGGTCAACCTGGCAGAAAACTGTAGTGTGAGTTAGAAGGTGGGTCCCCGAGAACACGTCTCCCTTCTTAGTTTCCAGGACAGACTGGGCTGGGGTGCGGAGAAAGGGGTAGCGTGACCTGGCTCGGCAGACTCGCCTAGCCCCAGCGTCCTGTCCTGGTGCCGAGTGGCTGCACCTCGATTTGAGACGGTGACACTGGGTGGCACTTGGGAAACTAGATCCAAGGACAATGTCTCACTTTCAGGAATGCCACAAATGCCACGGGCGTGGGCGGTACAAGTGCAGTGGCTGCCATGGGGCGGGCATGGTGAGTCTTGTGTGGGCCACTGGTGAGTAAGTGAGCATGGGGGGGTGGCCTGGGAACGGAGGCTTGGGTTGGGCACCTGGGACTGCCTGTACTAACAGCATCACCTCGGACATGTTTTGCTCCTCTCTGGGCCTCCATTTTCCCATCTGTAAATGGGAAAACTTGGGTGTTCCCTAACGACCCTTTCACAGCTTGATTTTAATTTTTCTCTCCTATTCTTATCCATCTACCACATCCACTGAGTGCCTGCTTGGTGCTAGGCTGGGTACGAAGACTAAGCCCTGGGGTCCTTCCCGTCAAGGATTCCCTGTCTGCAGGAAACCAATAATTGATCCCATTTGCAGTACAGGATGATGGATGCCGAGAAGGTGAAGTTCAAAAGGCTTTCAGAGACGAGACAGACAGGATACTTGTGTTAGTTTTCTAGGGCTGCCCTAACAAATGACTGCCAACAGTGTGGCTCAAAACAACAGGAGTTCATTGTCTCAGATCTGAAGGCTGGAAGTTCAAAATCCAGGTGTGGGCAGGGTCCGTTCTGGAGTTGCTGAGGGAGAAACTAGCCCATGCCTCTCTCACAGCTGCTGGCGGTCCTCGGCACTCCTTGGCTTGTGGCTGTAACACTTGTCTCTGCCTGTTGTCACACGGTCTTCTCCTGAGTTTCTTCACCTGGGCTTCTTGGGGCCCCAGTCATTGGATTTAGGGTCCGCCCTCGTCCGTATGAGGTCATTCGACCCATCTTAACTAATTACATCTGCAAAGACTGTCCAGATGAGGTCACACTTCAAGGTTCCACTGGACTTGAATCTGTGGGGGATGCTATCGAGCCCAGGACAGCAGGCAGCCAGGTCTTCGGGGCATCAGAAACCTTCAGGGCTATTCGCCGTCCCAGGGAGTAAGACCAAACTCCTCAAGCACTTCTTCACTCATCTGCTTGGAGCCTTGACTTTTGGATGCACACTGACCACTGGCTACTCTCCACGGCCTTCCTTCACAACCTTCCCTCTGCCACTGGCCCTCCAGCCTCCACCTGCTGGATGCTCATTACCGCCCATTCCTGTACTGTCTGTGGTCCCAGCAGTGCCTGTGCCTGGCTTCTCTCCTGTGTCCTG